GCTTCCTAAGCTTATTCTTGTACCTGGGGAGCACTGGATCCAAGGAAACACCTGCTGGCATCAGGCTCATTTCTCTCCAGGGAGCCAGGCCTCCAGGGTGCTGGTCGGCATCCTCCAGCACTGCAGTGCCCCAGCATCCCAGCTGTAACCCATAGCCCAAGGAACAAAGGTTTTCTAGGGCTCATGTGAACCCCCAAGAGAAAATGTGGGATGGTACACCCCCATCCAAATTCAAAATGTTCACTTGCTTTGGAAATGTACTGAGCTAACTCAACTTTTGCATGTGGCTCTGTGCCATTCTCAAGGTGATCACAAATTGGGAAGAAAACAGCTAATGTGGTAGAAGTCAGGTAAAGTGATAGAATCATTTAGGGTGATTCGCAGAGAGTTGGGAGCAAAAGTCAGTCTTGATTGTTTTCTGCTTAAGCCAGTGTGTGTATTATAAGGACAGATGCCCAGCATAATACTTTATCATTTGACTCCAAATTTTCAGAAATAAACTGATGATCATGTTCGTAATTACATTATGGTGAAAGGTTTATCACCTCGCACCAGAGTATTATATTTGTGGTTGTTGAGGGGTCTTTATCTGCATAAATTTCTTCTCTTTCTAGAAATATGATCAATACAATGAATACGTACCTTCTAAAAGTTCAACATTCTGATGAACCAATAGCAGATCTTTCTATAGGTAAAAATAAAATTAATTTGTAAGTATTTCAAATGTTTCATAGCTAAACAAACAATATTCATATTTTTGTTGTTTAATAAGGCATATAATGAATTATCAGCATTTCTCAATATTATAAAATTTTAATCATATTTAATATGACCTTTTAGGGTAAAACTAAACATTTTTAATTGAAAATATACCTATCGTAAGCATTAACTGTTACTGTGGGCAAATTTATTTCAAATAAAATTCACTTATTCTGGAATCCCTACAAATTAGAAAGTAATGTTCCTTTTTGATGAGGCTTAAGAAATATGGGAACCTGTTTTATCTATTTAAAGAGCGTTTCTGTAAAAGTCTCAAAATTATCCTTTTAGGTGGTCTTGATATCATCATTTGTAGTAAGAGTTAACTTACATATTTATGAAACCCTGATTTTTAATAAACCCACTTCAGAGCATTTCTTGGATAAATATGACCTACTAAATGTTCTTATATGCTGCCCGAGCACATTGTGGGAAATTAGGTTAGTACAGAGAGTTTAAGAAAAACAATTCATTTACTAAAAATTGGTCGGATATCATAGAAATATTTATTTGTTATAGATTGGACAGGCAGCATTTCATATTTCTTTACCTACCTGATCTCTAACACCTCACAAATATTAAACTTCATATTGCTGAGGTAAGCTATCATATACTATGGTAAAATCCAAGACTTTTTTCCAAATTGATGAATTGTAAAATTGGGTCTTCCAAAAGACAAAAGCAAGAGCAAAATAAACTCAAAGCAAGCAGAAGGAAGAAAACTAAAAAAATAAGAGCAGAAAGCAATGAAATTGAAAACAGAAAAAATAGAGAAAATCAGTGAAATGAAGAGTTGTTTCTTTGAAAAGATAAACAAAATTGGCAAACCTCTAGCAAGTCTAACAAAGAAAAAAGAGGAAAGACACAAACTTTCAATATCAGGAATGAATAGAGCTATCACTACAAATTCTGAAGTTATTAAAAGGATGAGTTATATTAAAAACAACTCTGTAAACATAAATTTGACAACTTAGACAAGATGGAATATTTTCTTGAAAAACATAAACTATCACAACTCACCCAATAGGAAGTAGTTAATTTGAATAGTCCTTATTCAAGTTAATTTTCTTGAATAAGAAAGTTGATTTCACAATTTAAAAATATGCAAAAAAATCTCCAGGACCAGATGATTTCACTGGAAAATTCTATGAAATGTTTAAAGAAGCAATACCAATGCTACACAATCTCTTCTAGAAAACAGAAGAGGTATCACTTCCAAATTCATTTTATGAAGCAAGTATTAACCTGATACCAAACCAGAGAAACACAATACGAAAAAACTACCAACCAATATTCCTCACAAATACTGATGCAAACAATCCTTAACAAAACACTAGCAAATAGAATACATCAATTATATAAATAAAATTATTTGTCATGATTAAATGAGATTTGTTCCAGGGTTCAATTTTCTAAAATTAATCATGCTATTCACCATATTAAGAAAAATTATATGATCATATTAATTGATGCAGGAAAAGCATTTGACAAAATTCATTCCCAATTTATAGGAAAATAAAAACCTCCCAGAAAAATAGAAATAGAGGGAAATTTGTTTAGCTTGATAAAGAGCATCTATAAAAAAATATTTTTAAAAAAACTATAGCTAACATTATATTTAATGGTGAAAGACTGAATGCTTTCCCCCTTATACCAGGAGCAAGGCGGGGATGTCCAAAGCCGATCTGGCTGCAGCCATCACTGAGAGCCCAATATACCAACTGCAGACACCTGCACTGAGCCACTGATATGGCACTATTTGCTGGATAGACAGCTACCTGGTGGCAGGTTGATTACACTGGACCAATTCCACTGTGAAAGGGATAGTGTTTAGTTCTTACTGGAATAAACACTTACTCCAAACACAAATTTGCCTTCTCAATTTGCAGTGCCTCAGCCAAAACTACCATCTGTGGAATTACCACTATCATAATATTCTACACCATATCGTGTCTGATCAAGGAACTGTCTTCTCAGCAAAAGAAGCATGGCAATGGGCCCATGCTCATGAAATTCACTGGTCCTGCCATGTCCCATGGAAATGGGAGTCACACCACCCACTACTACTCCTAGTGAACCATTAGCAACATTTTTGCTTCCTGTTTATGTGCATTTTGCTCTGCTGGCCTAGAGTTCTTAGTTCCGGAGGAAGGAAAGCTTCCATCAGGAGACACAGCGATTTTTCCACTAAACTGTTGTTAAGATTGCCACCTGGCCACTTTGGGCTCCTCAGGCCTCTGAATCAACATGCAAAGAAGGGAATTACTATGTTGGCTGGAGTAATTGATTATGACTACAAAGGTGAAATTAAAGTACTACTCCATAATGGAGGTGAGGAAAAGCATGTCTGGAATACAGGAAATCCCTTACGGTGTCTCTCAGTGTTACCATTACCTATAAAAAGAATCAATGGAAAACAACAACCTAGTTCAGGCAGAACTTTGAGTGAACCAGCCCCTTCATGGAGTGAATGTTTGGGTCATTCTGCTGGTAAATATCCAAGATCGGCTGAGGTTTTTGCTGAAGGCAAAGGAAATACAGAGTAGGTAGCAGAAGGTGGCTGTAAATACCAGTTAAGACCACGTGACCAGTTACAAAAATAACAACTGTAATTATTCTCTCCATATTCTGCTACATAATATGTGTGTGCTTTTGTTTTCTGTCCTCTGTTAATTCCTTATCGTGTAACGTAAGATGTGTTCATTTTATATCATAGTGTCTAAGTATTTTTAATCTGACATCATAGCATTTAGGTTAGGGGATATCAAGAAGAAAAGCAAAAATCACTGAAGGACTTTAACTCCACTTCTAGCTAAGAAGTTAGTATGTTTTTAGTTGCACTCAGAATAGTTGTATCATGTTAGGTGGAATTATCGCCTAACATTCTGTGTTTGTGGTTTAAGCATAGTTTATGGAGATGCATATGGATGTCAAGTTGACAAAGGATGGACTTGTGATGGTTGGTTTTGTGTATCAACTTGACTGGCCACAGGATTCTCAGATTAAACCCAATTTGTAGATGTGTCCAGAGGGTGTTTCTGGATGAAATTAGTGTTTGAATCCATTTACTGAGTAACTAGATTGTCCAACCCAATGTAGATGGATTTCATCTACTCCTTTGAGGGTCTTAATAGAATAAAAGGTGGAGGAAAGAGCAGTTCACTCCTTCCTGCCATATTTCTTGGACTGGAACCTTGATCTTCTCCTGCTTTCAGAGCTTCCTTGTTCTCAGACCTTCAGACCCAGACTAGAATCTACATCACTGGCTCTCCTGGTTCTTAGGCCTTCAAAGTCAGATTGAAATGTACCACTGGCTTTCCTGGGTCTCTAGTTTACAGGCTGCTGATTGTGGGCCTCAGCATACAAAATTACATGAGCCAATTGCTTACAATGAAACTCTTTGTGTGTGTGTGTGTGTGTGTGTGTGTGTATTAGTTTGTGTTGCTATATAACAGAATACCTGAGACTGGGTAATTTATGAAGAAAAGATGTTTATTTGATTTATTTTGTGGGGCAACTGTATCTGGGTGGGTTTCAAGCTGCTTCTACTCATGGCAGAAAGCTGCAAGGAGATCATGTGGAAAGAGAGAAGCAAGAGAGAAGGAGAGGAGGTGCTGAGTTCTTTTTAACAATCAGCTCTGGTGGGAACTAATGAAGTGACAACACACTCACCCTCCCTACCCCAAGGGAGAGCATTAATCTATTCATGAGGGATTGACCTGCCTGTACTATAATGCTTCCCACTAGGGCTCACCTCCTAACACTGCCACGTTGGGGATCCAATTTCAACATGAGTTTTGGAGGGCCAATCGTATCCTAACCATAGCATTCTGCCCCAGATGGTCAAAAATTCATGTCCATCTCACAGGCAAAATACAATCATTCCAATCTAATATTCTAAAAATCTTTGAGATTATTGGGAATATTCTCTATAATTTGAGAATATTATTGTACCACCATCAACAATATTATATCATTTCCCACCAACTCAAATTCTAAAGTCTCATCTGAAAATCAAGGCAAAAGTTCTACTAGCTGTGTACCTGAAAAAATAAAAAAACAAGTTATCTACTTTCAACATACAGTGGTAGAACAGAAACTGGGTACACATTCCACTCCAAAAGGGAGGAATAGTCCAGAAGAAAAGAGGAACAGGCCCCAAAGAAGTCCAAAGCCAGCAGGGCAGACATTAAATCCTAGAGCTCAAAAATAATGTCCTTTGACTCCATCTCCTGGGCACAGTGACAGTTCTGGGCTCCCAAGGCCTCCCATTGATATGCACAGATTAAAGTCAGATGTTTGCAGTTTTTCCAGGCTGGCTTTGCATACTGCCAGAATGCTGATAGAAACATAGACTATAAAGACCATTCTGAGGAAGTCTCAGATGGAAATTAGGATGAGCTTATTGGAAACTAGACCAAGACTCAGACTTGTTGCAAAGAACTTGGTTGCATTCTGTTCATGCCCCAGAATTTTATGGAATGTGGAATTTAAGAGTTATGAACCAGAGTATTTGGTAGAAAAAATTCCTAAGCAGCAAAGCATTCAGGTAGCTGCATGGTTACTTGTAATAACCTATGCTGAGTTATGGGGGGAAAAAAAAAAAAAAAAA